TGATCAAAACGCACTTCCAGCACAGTGACCGAGCTGTCAAAGATGATTAGGAGCTGGTGGGACCTGCTCCTGATCATGTGACCACTGTGACAGCCAATCACAATGTGTAAAAAAAAAAATAATGTTCCACTGCAGGCTACACCTTCCTCTCCAACCACCCAGTCTCAGGAACAGGCTCCCCATGGTCATGAACCTCACCATATCCAACCAGAAAGGAGGTGAAGGACACTTACTGCCAAAGCCAACGTTAAGACCAATGAAGCAAATGATGGCACGGACTAGTCCACCAGTGGCAACCACGCTAACATGTTTCACTCCTAACTGGAACTGACCCCTCTGGGGATATACAGATCTATAGAGATGAATCAGGACTTCAGAATTGTAGAGTTGTCACCAGAACAGGAATCCAATACAAGTCCTCAACTTTCTGCCTCTGGGACAGAAATCAAGACAAGAATCTTAACATTTCCTACATTATCAGCTTCGAAAAAAATAAGATTTTGGCTACAGCTACACATTAAGCCCCGCCTTACAGGGAGATTAGCGTCTCATGACAGTGATCACCAGCCAGACATTACCTGCTTGTCAAAGATCGCTCTCAGCACCTTCACTAGGCATTTAGCCCTCAGGCCTCATCCCTGGAGACTACAAGCCTGCAGGACTTGGGGTTCCTCTGACATTGGGGGTGTGTCCGGGTGTGTCCATGCAGAAATGCGTCATTCTTATGGAAACAAAAGCCAAAAGCAGCAACCTCGTTCATTTACAGCACCGCAGGTCTTAGTCACAACCGGTGAATCAGGACAGGGATGGTCATGATGTCACGTGTGCCAACAGACTGAGAAGAAATAGAATAAAATAGAAGAGTGGCGGCAAGAAAAAGATTAAATGGTCCAATGAGGCTTCTTCCCTCTAGTGATAGGATCTATATAGAGGAATCAGGACCTCCTTCCTCCTGCCGGTGACCCCTCTAGTAATAGGATCTATATACAGGAATCGGGACCTCCTTCCTCCTCCTGCCGGTGACCCCTCTAGTAATAGGATCTATATAGAGCAGTGGTTCTCAACCTTCCTAATGTCGTGACCCTTTAATACAGTTCCTCATGTTGTGGTGACCCCCAACCATAAAATTATTTACCCAGTAAATTAATTCATGAGTGTCGTTTTACCTCCAATATTGCTGCTTTCAACACAGTAGCTGCTTTTAACAGAGTAGCTGCTTTCAACACAGCAGCTGCTCTTTACACATCGGAAATATGTGTTTTCTGATGATCTTAGGGGACCCCTGTGAAAGGGTCGTTCGACCCCCAAAGGGGTCGCGACCCACAGGTTGAGAACCACTGATATAGAGGAATCAGGACCTCCTTCCGCCTGCCGGTGACCCCTCTAGTGATAGATCTATATAGAGGAATCGGGACCTTCTTCCTCCTGCTGGTGACCCCTCTAGTGATAGGTCTATATAGAGGAATCGGGACCTCCTTCCTCCTGCCGGTGACCCCTCTAGTGATAGGATCTATATAGAGGAATCAGGACCTCCTTCCTCCTGCCGGTGACCCCTCCAGTGATAGGATCTATATAGAGGAATCAGGACCTCCTTCCTCCTGCCGGTGACCCCTCTAGTGATAGATCTATATAGAGGAATCGGGACCTCCTTCCTCCTGCCGGTGACCCTTCTAGTGATAGGATCTATATAGAGGAATCAGGACCTCCTTCCTCCTGCCGGTGACCCCTCTAGTGATATAAAGATCTATATAGAGGAATCAGGACCTCCTTCCTCCTGCCGGTGACCCCTCTAGTGATAGATCTATATAGAGGAATCAGGACCTCCTTCCTCCTGCCAGTGACCCCTCTAGTGATAGGATCTATATAGAGGAATCAGGACCTCCTTCCTCCTGCCGGTGACCCCTCTAGTGATAGATCTATATAGAGGAATCAGGACCTCCTTCCTCCACAGACCGAGCAGAACAGGATTACTGCCGCCTGACTACCCGGCCGGTTTGTGACTTTTGTGTTCCGTGTCCTGGCAGGCATACACGCGTGTACATTCCCATGTAGGCTCTTGCAGCTGCTCATGTGCAAGCCAGCAATGCAAGCGTGAACCTGCAGGTGCGCATGGGTGTATCCATGCATGCGGGAACTTGACTGCTCCGTCTAACTAAACCAGTACATATCTTTATAAATGGTTTTCTTTTTTTATGTTCGGGACTAAAAAAAAAAAAAAAAATCAAACAATAAAAGAAGTTATAGAAAGAAAAAAATAAATAAAAAGTAATATTTTTTAAGTTGGTTAATATGATAGATTTCACATCAACAACGTTCACTCAGCAACTGGCCCTCTGGACTCTTTCCCGTTTGTTTACCAGGTTAATCTTAACTGCTTTGCTGATACAAGAGCTCAGTAGCTCACTTTGGGCTTTTCTCTGGGTGGTTGAGGAGGTCCCACCCCCCCCCCCCAGGTGACTCTGTGGATTAGCATTTCCGCTCTCAGGGGGTTCCAGTAAAGAGTTTAATTAGAGCAATAAACCCAGGAGAGGGAGTTAGGATATAGGGAACCCCAAAACAAGAGAAAAAATATCTCAGGCCTTCTAGTACCAGGCAATACAGGGAACCCGAGACCGGCAACCTGTAATTGTGGACCACGAGGAGCAACCGACAACCTGTAATTGTGGACCACGAGGAGCAACCAGCAACCTGTAATTGTGGACCACGAGGAGCAACCGGCAACCAGTAATTGTGGACCACGAGGAGCAACCAGCAACCTGTAATTGTGGACCACGAGGAGCAACCGGCAACCAGTAATTGTGGACCACGAGGAACAACCAGCAACCTGTAATTGTGGACCACGAGGAGCAACCGACAACCTGTAATTGTGGACCACAAGGAGCAGCCGGCAACCAGTAATTGTGGACCACGAGGAACAACCAGCAACCTGTAATTGTGGACCACGAGGAGCAACCGACAACCTGTAATTGTGGACCACGAGGAGCAGCCGGCAACCTGTAATTGTGGACAATGAGGAGCTACCGGTAACCTGTAATTGTGGACCACGAGGAGCAACCGGCAACCTGTCATTGTGGACCACAAGGAGCAATCGGCAACCTGTAATTGTGGACCACGAGGAGCAACCGGCAACCTGTAATTGTGGACCACGAGGAGCAACCGGCAACCTGTAATTGTGGACCACGAGGAGCAATCGGCAAGCTGTAATTGTGGACCACGAGGAGCAACCGGCAACCGGTAATTGTGGACCACGAGGAGCAACCGGCAACCTGTCATTGTGGACCACGAGGAGCAACCGGCAACCTGTCATTGTGGACCACGAGGAGCAACCGGCAACCTGTCATTGTGCACCACGAGGAGCAACCGGCAACCTGTAATTGTGGACCACGAGGAGCAATCGGCAACCTGTAATTGTGGACCACGAGTGGCAACCGGCAATTTTTATTTCGAAAATGTTTTCTAAGAATTTTCGCTCGAAATTTGTTAGTGGGGTCACAGAAACGGCGGGTTTTCCAGCGACCATCGAATTTGAGTGATCGGGTATGCGGGAAATTTTTTGAAAAACTAACAAATTTCTAATCAATGACGGGAGAATCGTGCGAGAAATGTAATCGGAAAAAAAACTGAGCTGTGACCTGGAAAGAAAAGAAAATTCTTGGCCACGAAAACTCTTTTCTGTAGCAAAATGAAGTGAAATTGATGGCTGCGTTGGTCGAATTTCGAAATCAATGGTGGCGCTATCGGAATGCACTAAATTTCCCATTTTCTAAAGAAAATTTGAACCGGAATTACTTTCTTGTCAAACACACATTATTTATTAAGCACTTGTAGACCACCTACTGCACCCGGTGTCAGTTAGTGTCAGATCACCCTCCGCACTATCACAGTCTCACTAATCACTGCCATTAGTAGAATAAAAAATAAAAACATTCAGTATATATATCCTATAGTTTGTAGAAACTATAACCTTCATGCAAACCAATTAATATACACTTATTGGGATTTTTTTTTCCACAAAAAAAAAAGCAGAAAACATTTTAGTCTAAATTTATGAAGAAATTTGATTTTTTAAACGTGATTTATATCAGAAATATAAAAAAAATTGTGTTTTTTAATTTTTTTTTCATGATTATAATAAAAGATAAAAAAAACCCCGATGGCGATCAAATGCCACCAAAAGAAATTTGTGTGAAAAAAAAAATGAGGTAAATTTAATTTGGGTGCAGCGTTGCACGACCGCACAATTACCAGTTAAAGTAGCGCAGTGCCGAATATCAAAAAAATGGCCTGGTCATGAAAGGAGGGGTAGAACTTTTCCGCAGGTCAAATGGATATTTCTTTAATTTCTTTCATTTTTTTCCCCGTGATAGTGGAGTTACCCTCTAAGGCCCCACACACGTTGAAAATATCGGACGACTGATCGTCCAATTTTTTTTTTTTCTTTTGCACGCTTGTTTCAGATCGAAGGTGAAGAGGTTACTAAAGTTATTAAACAAATTTTTAAGACAGAATAAAAATTCAAAAGTTATGTCTTGTATTTTATTTGTATCGTATTTTCGGATGAAAAACTGCGCTGATTACACGAAAATCGCACAATCTGGAGAAACAATGTTCCTGCTTTTCCCTTCAAATAATTTTGGACGAAAGCTGTGTACTGACGATCGGATTATCGTACAATCGCTTCAAAAGACGTATTTTTCCAAAGATTTTCTGATCTGAGGCTGCAATTCTATTTTAACTATATACTAATGATGACACCGACACCGACTTCTCACACATCGTCTGAGAGAACCGCGTGGAAAAAGATCGGGAGACATTCTGTTATAATGGGAATACACACACATTACATTGCCCAAAGTATTGGCCCCACCCTCCCAATCATGTGATTCAAGTGCTCCAATCCCCTCCCAATCATGTGATTCAAGTGCTCCAATCCCCTCCCAATCATGTGATTCAAGTGCTCCAATCATGTGATTCAGGTGCTCCAATCCCCTCCCAATCATGTGATTCAGGTGTTCCAATCCCCTCCAGATCATGTGATTCAGGTGTTCCAATCCCCTCCCAATCATGTGATTCAGGTGCTCCAATCCCCTCCCAATCATGTGATTCAGGTGTTCCAATCCCCTCCATATCATGTGATTCAGGTGTTCCAATCCCCTCCCAATCATGTGATTCAGGTGCTCCAATCCCCTCCCAATCATGTGATTCAGGTGTTCCAATCCCCTCCTTATCATGTGATTCAGGTGTTCCAATCCCATCCATATCATGTGATTCAGGTGTTTCAATCCCCTCTATGGACACAGGTGTATACAATCAAGCCCCTAGGCATGCAGACTGCTTCTACAAACATTGGTGAAAGAATGGGTCGCTCTCAGGATCTCAGTGACTCCAAGCGTGGTCCCGTGATAGGTGGCCACCTGGGCAATAAGTCCATCCGTGACATTTCCTGGCTACTAAATATTCCACACTCAGCTGTTAGTCAGTGGGATTATAACAAAGTGGAAGCCACTGGGAACAACAGCCACTCAGCCACCAAGTGGTAGGCCACGTCACATGACAGGGCGGGGTCAGCGCATGCTGAAGCGCACAGTGCGCAGAAGTCGCCAACTGTCTGCAGAGTCAATGGCTAAAGACCTCCAAACTTGGTGTGGCCTTCAGATGAGCCCAACAACAGTGCGTAGAGAGCTTCATGGAATGGGTTTCCATGGCAGAGTAGCTGCATCCAAGCCTTCCATCACCAAGTGCAATGCAAAGCATCGGATGCCGTGGTGTAAAGCATGCCACCACTGGACTCTAGAGCAGGGGAGACGTGTTCTCTGGAGTCACCAATCACACTTCTCTGTCTGGCAATCCGATGGACGTGTCTGGGTTTGGCAGTGGCCAGGAGAACGGTACTTGCCTGACTGCATTGTGCCAAGTGTAAAGTTTGGTGGAGGGGGGATTATGGTGTGGGGTTGTTTCTCAGGGGTTGGGCTTGGCCCCCTAGTTCCAGTGAAGGGAACTCTTAAGGTGACATTTTGGACAATTTCATGCTCCCAATTTTGTGGGAGGAGTTTGGGGATGGCCCCTTCCTGTTCCAACATGACTGCACACCAGTGCACAAAGCAAGGTCCATAAAGACATGGAGGAGCCAGTTTGGGGTGGAGGAACTTGACTGTCCTGCACAGAGTCCTGACCTCAACCCCATAGAACACCTTTGGGATGAATTAGAGTGGAGACTGCGAGCCAGGCCTCCTCCCCCGACATCAGTGCCTGACCTGACAAATGTGCTTCTGGAAGAATGGTCCAACCTTCCCATAGACACCCTCCTAAACCTTGTGGACGGCCTTCCCAGAAGAGTTGAAGCTGTTATAGCTGCAAAGGGCGGGGCCAACTCAATATTGAACCCTACGGACTAAGACTGGGGGCCATTAAAGGTCGTGTGTGAGGAAAGGGCGGGGCCAACTCAATATTGAACCCTATGGACTAAGACTGGGGGGCCATTAAAGGTCATGTCCAGTCTAGGTGGTTTGTCCCGTAACTGAGTATTTCACAGCAGTCGTTCAGCGAGGATGCTCACTGTCCTGCCCGACACACAAGCACCCATTAAAAGAAGAATCTACAAATTCAATGTTCAAAGACAAAAGTGTCGCCACTTCAAATTAAATTAGAAAAAAAAAAGAAAGTTGTGCCAAAATATATTTCCAGGTGAAGTAAAAGTATCTAACGAGGTCGAAGAGGGAAGGGCGAAAACCCATTTCAGTTTTTTTTTTTCCTTTTTGGAGATGTCTTTTCACTTCCTGCCCTGGAGACACAACAGGAAGTGAGGGGAAATCTCTCCACAGAGGGAAAAGATTGCCTTCTGCTTGTCCCCGGACAAGGTGTCCCCGTTGGAAGGTTTCTCCTTTGCTCCTGCTCTGGTGACAACATGGAACTTTGGATTGTCCTTCACTCTCGGTTCCGGGGACAATGGTCACCATGACAAGTTCGGGAGGGTCACCCTCCCTGGCGGGGACAGAGCCAGCTATAAATACCCAACAGAGGATCTGTCCCGTGACCATTCCTTCCTAACCAAACACGACTTGAACCCACGCATGTGGGACAGTCCCTCGCCTTCATTCAGCCACATGTCTGTCTCGTCTCCCCTGACTCCAGGGGGAGTTTTAGCTCCTCCCACATCTCAACATCCATGGCCCAGTCCCTGCTAATGACCCAAACAAATGATGGTGTCACCTATTACCCTCCATGGTCCTCTGTGACACCATTCAACGATCTCAGATTCAGATTTCCTCCCAGATCACCTTCACTGTCTGTGAGCTGCTGATGTGATACCCCCCCCCCCACCCCCTCCCCGGTCCCAGAAGAACCCGAATCCATTTCATATTACCCTTCTACCCCGCCTCTGTATAACCATTGGATGAGCTTCTCTCTAACAAATACTACAATCCTCATACCCCCCACACTCCTCTCCTGTACATAGTGCCTACTGTCAAACCCCCCACACTCCTCTCCTGTACATAATGCCACACTGTCAAACCCCCCACACTCCTCTCCTGTACATACCGATCACTGTCACACCCCCCCACACTTCTCTCCTGTACATACCGATCACTGTCACACCCCCCACACTCCTCTCCTGTACATACCGATCACTGTCATACCTCCACACTTCTCTCCTGTACATACCGATCACTGTCACACCCCCCACACTCCTCTCCTGTACATACCGATCACTGTCATACCCCCCACACTCCTCTCCTGTACATACCTATCACTGTCATACCTCCACACTTCTCTCCTGTACATACCGATCACTGTCATACCCCCCACACTCCTCTCCTGTACATACCGATCACTGTCATACCCCCCCCACACTCCTCTCCTGTACATACCTATCACTATCATACCTCCACACTCCTCTCCTGTACATACCGATCACTGTCACACCCCCCACACTCCTCTCCTGTACATACCGATCACTGTCATACCTCCACACTCCTCTCCTGTACATACAGATCACTGTCATACCCTCCACACTCCTCTCCTGTACATACTGATCACTGTCATACCCTCCACACTCCTCTCCTGTACATACTGATCACTGTCATACCCTCCACACTCCTCTCCTGTACATACCGATCACTGTCATACCCTCCACACTCCTCTCCTGTACATACCGATCACTGTCACACCCCCCCCACACTCCTCTCCTGTACATACCGATCACTGTCATACCCACCCACACTCCTCTCCTGTACATACCTATCACTATCATACCTCCACACTCCTCTCCTGTACATACCGATCACTGTCATACCCCCCACACTCCTCTCCTGTACATACCTATCACTATCATACCTCCACACTCCTCTCCTGTACATACCGATCACTGTCATACCCCCACACTCCTCTCCTGTACATACTGATCACTGTCATACCCGCAACGCTCCTCTCCTGTACATACCGATCACTGTCATACCTCCACACTCCTCTCCTGTACATACCGATCACTGTCATACCTCCCACACTCCTCTCCTGTATATACAGATCACTGTCATAGCCTCCACACCCTCCTCTCCTGTACATAGTGCCCACTGTCACACCCCCCACACTCCTCTCCTGTACATAGTGCCCGCTGTCACACCCCCCACACTCCTCTCCTGTACATAGTGCCCGCTGTCACCCCCCCACACTCCTCTCCTGTAGATAGTGCCCGCTGTCACCCCCACACTCCTCTCCTGTAGATAGTGCCCGCTGTCACACCCCCCACACTCCTCTCCTGTAGATAGTGCCCACTGTCACACCCCCCACACTCCTGTACATAGTGCCCACTGTCACACTCCCCACACTCCTCTCCTGTACTTAGTGCCCACTGTCACACACCCCCACACTCCTCTCCTGTACATAGTGCCCACTGTCACACTCCCCACACTCCTCTCCTGTACTTAGTGACCACTGCCACACTCCCCACACTCCTCTCCTGTACTTAGTGCCCACTGTCACACCCTCCACACTCCTCTCCACCCTGTCCTCTCCTGTAGATAGTGTCACACCCCCCACTCTCACACATAGTGCCCACTGTCACACCCCCACACACTCCTCTCCTGTCCTGTACATAGTGCCCACTGTCACACCCCCCACACTCCTCTCCTGTACATAGTGCCCACTGTCACACCCCCCTCCACACTCCTCTCCTGTACATAGTGCCCACTGTCACAGTGCCCCCCACACACTCCTCTCCTGTAGATAGTGCCCACTGTCACACCCCCCACACTCCTCTCCTAGTGCCCACTGTCACACCCCCCACAGTGCCCACTGTGCCCACTGTCACACCCCCCACACTCCTCTCCTGTACATAGTGCCCACTGTCACACCCCCACACACATAGTGCCCACCACACTCCTCTCCTGTAAATAGTGCCCACTGTCACACCCCCCACTCCTCCTCTGCCCCTGTACATAGTGCCCACTGTCATAGTGCCCACACCCCCACACTCCTCTCCTGTACATAGTGCCCACTGTCACACCCCCCACACTCCTCTCCTGTACATAGTGCCCACTGTCACATACCCCCCACACTCCTCTCCTGTACATAGTGCCCACTGTCACACCCCCCACACTCCTCTCCTGTACATAGTGCCCACCAACACTCCTCTCACTGTGCCCACTGTCACCCCCCACTCCTCTCCTGTACATACTGTCATACCCCCCGTCCTCTCCACTGTCATACCTCCACACTCCTCTCCTGTACATTAGTGCCCACTGTCACACCCCCCCACACTCCTCTCCTGTACATAGTCCGCCCACTGTCATACCCCCACACTCCTCTCCTGTACATACCCACTGTCACACACCCCCCACACTCCTCTCCTGTACATAGTGCCGATCACTGTCATACCCCCACCACACTCACTCTCCTGTACATAGTGATCCACTGTCATACCCCCACACTCCTCTCCTGTACATACACGATCACACTGTCATACCCATACCCACATCCTCTCCTCTCACTGTCACACCCCCCACAGATCACTGCCCACTGTCACACCCCCACACTCCTCTCCTGTACATACCGATCACTGTCACACCCCCACACTCCTCTCCTGTACATACTGATCACTGTCCACACCCCCACACTCCTCTCCTGTACATACCGATCACTGTCATACCCCCCACACTCCTCTCCTGTACATACCGATCCCTGTACATCATACCCCCACACTCCTCTCCTCCTCTCCTGTACATACCGATCACTGTCATACCCCCACACTCCTCTCCTGTACATACCGATCACTGTCATACATCCACACTCCTCTCCTGTACATCCGATCACTGTCATACCTCCACACTCCTCTCCTGTACATACCGATCACTGTCACACCCCCACACTCCTCACCTGTACATACCGATCACTGTCATACTCCACACTCCTCTCCTGTACATACCGATCACTGTCATACCCCCCACACTCCTCTCCTGTACATACCGATCACTGTCATACCTCCACACTCCTCTCCTGTACATACCGATCACTGTCATACCTCCACACTCCTCTCCTGTACATACCGATCACTGTCATACCTCCACACTCCTCTCCTGTACATACCGATCACTGTCATACCTCCACACTCCTCTCCTGTACATACCGATCACTGTCATACCTCCACACTCCTCTCCTGTACATACCGATCACTGTCACACCCCCCACACTCCTCTCCTGTACATGATCACGATCACTGTCATACCCCCACACTCCTCTCCTGTACATACCGATCGCTGTCATACCTCCCCACACTCCTCTCCTGTACATACCGATCACTGTCATACCCCCCACACTCCTCTCCTGTACATACCGATCACTGTCATACCTCTACATACTCCTCTCCTGTACATACCGATCACTGTCATACCTCCACACTCCTCTCCTGTACACACCGATCACTGTCATACCTCCACATACTCCTCTCCTGTACACACTGGCACATGTTTGGCAGTTGTATATAGAGAGCATTGGGCTCCTCTCCTGCAGTTCCTCTCCATCGTCTTCCTTTCCTGAAGCTGTTCAAAGAAACTTATTGAGGAAGAATCTCCGAGGAGATATATATGGAATGGCAACAATGTAATCTCTGCCCTTCTAGAGAACAACAAGTCCCTCGCCGGTGACCCCAATGCCCACCATACCACGGCCATCCTGGGCATGCTCCCCCATGTCACAGCAAAGCCCTCCATTCCTGTGCCGGGATCCCCTCCCTGCCCTCTGCCTGGACCCCCTCCCTGCCCTCTGTCCGGACCCCCTCCCTGCCCTCTGCCTGGACCCCCTCCCTGCCCTCTGCCCTGACCCCTCCCTGCCCTATGCCCAGACCCCCTCCCTGGCCTCTGCTTGGACCCCCTCCCTGCCCTCTGCACTCTCTTCTAATAATACACTCTACACAGTACAGGAAGAAATGGCAGTTAGGGAACTCAGCCTGCAAGCTCCTGGGAGGGCCGGGAATATAAAGCTGCGTAAACTCTCAGCGCTGTATAAATACCAACAATCAAGATATAATAGCAGGTACACAGGCTGTATACAGCAAGCTGGCCGTGTATACAGCAAGCTGGCCGTGTATACAACAAGCTGGCCGTGTATACAACAAGGTGGCCGTGTATACAACAAGCTGGCCGTGTATACAACAAGCTGGCCGTGTATACAACAAGGTGGCCGTGTATACAGCAAGCTGGCCGTGTATACAACAAGGTGGCCGTGTATACAACAAGCTGGCCGTGTATACAACAAGCTGGCCGTGTATACAACAAGCTGGCCGTGTATACAACAAGGTGGTCGTGTATACAACAAGGTGGCCGTGTATACAGCAAGCTGGCCGTGTATACAACAAGCTGGCCGTGTATACAACAAGGTGGCCGTGTATACAACAAGGTGGCCGTGTATACAACAAGCTGGCCGTGTATACAACAAGCTGGCCGTGTATACAACAAGCTGGCCGTGTATACAACAAGCTGGCTAGCTGGCCGTGTATACAACAAGGTGGCCGTGTATACAACAAGGTGGCCGTGTATACAACAAGGTGGCCGTGTATACAACAAGCTGGCCGTGTATACAACAAGCTGGCCGTGTATACAACAAGGTGGCCGTGTATACAACAAGCTGGCCGTGTATACAACAAGCTGGCCGTGTATACAGAGCCCAGCCACACACAGACAGACGGAGCGAATGCAGAAGTCCATACAGGTCAATGTATCAGATGACGGCTCACCTCGCTCTATACATAGTGCTGCTTCCTCTCTGCTCGGTGACACCATAGAAAGTGACTGTGGAGTGCTGTAGGCACTGTACGCCCAGCGCCCGCACACACCCTGCCCCCCCCACCTCCAGGAATAGGATCTACACCCAGCCCCTCTCACCCTGCAACAGGCCGGCTCTCCCAGTCTACAGAATCTGCAAACGTCACTCCGCTACCCGAGGAGCTTCAACGTCGAAAAAATAATAACTGAGTCTGACAACCTTGAGAAACAAAGTTCGTTGTCAGGGGAGTTCAGAGGCAACAAAGGAAGGAAAAATGCAAGCAGAGCGGCCAATGCAGTGCTGAGGCCTTGTGAGTGCAACTCGTGGGGATAATAGAATAGATAAAAGATTAATAGAATAATAAAAGAATAATAAAAGACGACGGGAATAACTCCGGATCGCTGGACGGAGCAAATCTGACGTTTCTGCTTCCGGACGCTTTATTCAGCGATGACTTTGTCATTACAGAAGATAACAAACTTACACTCAGGATATCATTTTATGTCTTTTGAAAACGATTTATTGGAGTGCAACCCAAAGACAAAAAAAAAATTGCATAACTAAAAAAATAAGTAAACAAAACTTACTTAAAAAAATACTTTGTTTACCTTGAATGCTGTTCATTAAAAAAACCAAAAACATTATTGTAGTAGATAAATGTATATTTTATTAATACGAATTATGAGAGAGAGAGAGGGGGGGAGAGAGAGAGGGAGAGAAGGGGGAGAGAGACAGAGAGAGGGGGGGAGGGAGGGAGGGGAGAGAGAGAGGAGGGGGGAAAGAAAGAGAGGAGAGGGAGAGAGATAATGGAGAGAGAGAGAGGAGGGGGGGAGAGAGGAGAGGGAGAGAAGGGGGAGAGAGATAGAGGAGGGGGGGAGGGAGGGAGGAGAGAGAGAGATAGGGGAGAGAGAGAGATAGGGGAGAGAGAGAGAGAAGGGGGAGAGAGAGAAGGGGGGAGAGAAAGAGAGGAAGGGGAGAGGGAGAGAGAGAGGAGGGGGGTAGATAGAGAGAGGCTGGGGAGAGGGAGAGGGGGGGAGAGGGGGGAAAGAGATAGGGGAGAGAGAGAGGAGGTGGAGAGAAAGAGAGGAAGGGGAGAGGGAGAGAGGGGGGGGGAGGAGGGGGAGAGAGGGGGGAGAGGGAGAGAGAGGGGGAGAGAGGGGGGAGGGGGAGAGAATGGGGGTTGGAAAGGGGGAGGGAAAGAGAGAAAGAGGGGGAGAGAGAGAGAGGAGGGGGGAGAGAGAGAAAGAAGGGGGTGGAGAGAGAGAGAGGGGGGGAGGGAGAGAGGGAGATGGGGGGAGAGAGGGAGAGAGGAGGGAGAAAGAGAGGGGGAGAGAGAGAGGGAGAGAGGAGGGGGGAGAAAGAAAGAGAGAGAGAGGAGGGAAGATAGAGAGAGAGGCGGGAGAGAGGAGGGGGAGAGAAATAGAGAGAGGGGAGAGGAGGGGGGGAGGGGGGGGGGGAGAGGGAATAATTCTTATTATTTAAAAATAATGATATATATTTACTGTGTATATTTTTTCCCTCTAAATCCCATGAAATGATCTTAAGAAATCCATATGTGATCCTTAGTAGCAGATTGTAAATCATGTTTATACTGGGATTTTGTTTGTAGGTCCCTCCCCCCCCCTCCCCTCCCCCCCCCCCCCCCCCCCCTCCCCCTGTCCAATATGTGGTTTTAAATTATGAAACACACTTTGCAAAATTGTATTTTCTCTCTCAGGGGATCCCGGGAAAAGATCCCAATGTCGCCATATGTGAAACGCGTCGTCCTTGTGGATCCTTCATAGCAGATTGTTTGTAAATCATGTTTATATTGGGATTTTGTAGGGATATCTCTTGAGAGATGCAGATCCTATTTTTTTTTTTTTGGGGGGGGGGGAGGTGTTTATATGTTCCCCCCCCTCCCCGGGCACAGACTAAAATGGCTTTAATGTGAAAATGGCTTACTGTAGCTTAACGTGTCATAAATTGCCCAAATCTCAATCCATGGACTTGAACCTTCGCACAGCCCAAGTTCCCAACATCCCAAACATGTCCTGGAAGTTTCATAGATTTCGGGCCGCCACAAATAAAATGGGGAACATTAACCCCTTGACGCAGGCGCCTCCCGGGCCCTTTAAGGGTTCCAGATGACAGGAGGAGGGGTGGGGTTTTAGGGTCATGTGACCGCCGTGATTCGCCACAAAGAAAATGGGGGACATTAAGCTTGTGTTTTGGGGAGCTTATTGTGGCTCAACGTACAAAAAAGAGCTTATAGATGTTTACCAATTTCCCCCAAACTTCACACCATAGAAAACTCTACCGACTTGAGCAGCTCCATTGCCGACAATAGGGTGTGACTTGTCATGTGATTTGGAACTGTCAAATCTTAGTGTCACTCATGATCGGTCTAACAATGGAATGTTCGCCCCTCACACAGAAACGATCGGTCTAACAATGGAATGTTCGCCCCTCACACAGAAACGATCGGTCTAACAATGGAATGTTCGCCCCTCACACAGAAACGATCGGTCTAACAATGGAATGTTCGCCCCTCACACAGAAACGATCGGTCTAACAATGGAATGTTCCCCCTCACACAGAAACGATCGGTCTAACAATGGAATGTTCGCTCCTCACACAGAGACGATCGGTCTAACAATGGAATGTTCGCCCCTCACACAGAAATGATCGGTCTAACAATGGAATGTTCGCTGTAACACTGAGAGACAGAACAACAACAACAAATTCAGCAGAAATGCGTCTAACAAATGATGACGGATCTGCATGTTCATGAGGGAAAGAAGGATTTGATCCCCTATCATTCAGCAGGATTTCTGGCTCCCAGGTGTCTCTCATACAGGTAACAAGCTGAGATTAGAAGCAGTCTCTTAAAGGGAGTGCTGCTAATCTCATTGTGTTACCTGTATAAAAGACACCTGTCCACAGGAGCCATCAAACCATCAAATTCCAAACTCTCCACCATGGCAAAGACCAAAGAGCTGTCCAAGGATGTCAGGGACAAGATGGTAGACCTACACAAGGCTGGACTGGGCTACCAAACTATGGCCAAGCAGCTTGGTGAGAAGGTGACAACAGTTGGTGCAATCATTCACAAATGGAAGAAACACAAAACAAGTGTCAGTCTCCCTAGGTCTGGTGCACCATGCAAGATCTCACCTCGTGGAGTGTCAATGATCATGAGAAAACAGTGAGGAATCATCCCAGAACTACACGTGAGGATCTTGTCAATGATCTCCAGGCAGCTGGGACCACAGTCACCAAGAAAACAATTGGTAACACACTACGCCGACAAGGACTGAAATCCTGCAGTGCCCGCAAGGTCCCTCTGCTCAAGAAAGCCCATGTCCAGGCCCGTCTGAAGTCTGCCACTGAACATCTGAATGATGCCGAGGAGG